AGAAAACAATCTCAAATAGCACTAAAAAAGATATATGACAAGTTTTATATGCTTATCATGGTCATTACTTTTCGATCATTCATTAAACGAAAGAAAAAAAAAAGAATGAAGTTATTCAATCTTGTTTGATCATTTTAAAAATGCTTAATTACATATAGAAGTTCTTGTAAAAGTTAATCGTATGATCATTTTGCTAAATATGATAGACTGATTAATTCAATGTCTTATAAAAGCATTTATTTTCTTGTCGATGTCAATCTTGCCGAGACAAATCCAACAAAATCGTTGTCCGCAATAGTTTTGTCCTCCATGATCGCAATTACCTTTCGATTCAGCACAAACATGAGATCCAAAACGACAACAAATCATGAGATCACATCCTTCATTTTTCATTATTAGAGTAGCACACAATTCGTTCGGACACTTTTTAGAAAATGCCAGAACAGTTACATCAGAGGCTAAATCTTCATTTCGAGCTCTTTCACCATCAAATTCATCACAAGTTAAACCTTTATGCCATTCAATTGAGTGACGAAAACATAATATTTGACCGCAAGCATGACATGTATAATACCTACAAATGAAGAATAAGACAATCAATGCATCAATTTCTTAAATGTCATATAGATCTTCAAAGTTTTTTGTCGAATACAATAAAGAAAAATAGGTAAATAGCAAGCAAAACTGTACATGTAAAATATAAATGACATTAGACAATCGAAAGATATCGAAATAATAAATAATTAACTGATAGAAAGAAGCAAGTACATTAGCTAGATAACTCATTATAATAGTCATCCCTGTAAAATCCTCTAACTAATAGAAGCAAACTGAGTAGTCATCGTTGTCAATTTGATTTGTCCTATATATATAGTTGATAATTAAATAAATTGAATAAATAGTCCATTTCAACTACAAGATAACAAAAAACATGAGCTTTGTTTAGATGAAACTAAGGCGTTTTTTTTCCGCGGCTTCGACATTCATTTTACTTTTGGCTTAATACTTCGAAATATTTTCAAGTGGCAAAAGAATTTAAGGCGCATAGACAGATATATTTAGACTTTAAATTAAAGAATAATTCATGTTAAGCTAAACATTTCTAATTGATATTTATCCTATCAAGTATTCAACTTGATTTAACGCTTTGTCTAAAATTTTCATGTAGATTATTAATTCTATATAAAAAAACAAAATTTTGAATAGTAAATATTAATGTGTTAAAATCTTCTATTATTTTATGCAATAAACGCAATCATATTGATGTACTTAGACGAACAAATCAATCTTTTAAAAGTTTTTCTTTTTCTTTCGAATATTTGACAGATATTTTGTTTTCTATAATAGCTGATTGAAATGAATGCATGTTATCTAACATACCCAAGCAAATTCTTATGATTAGATACAGGTTGGCTAGCTCCGTATCCTTTGCTCGACTTGCATCATCTGAATTCTTCATTAGCTTCAAGTATTCGATGTAATAACAAATTATCTACTATATACATCAATCGTTTGTCTAATAATTGATAGTATTATTCAGATTCAAATTTGTCTTTGCATGTTGGCATTAGACACTAAAATGTATAAGCCCATTTTGATTCAATATCAGTAGATATACTTTGTGTCTGACATGGAACACGACAGTTTGATAAATGCTTGTAATTCTTTGAGATATTGACCAATTTAACATCATTTTCTGAACAGAATGAACAATGTCGTTGTCGTTCATTGTAAAAAGAAAATGATGAACCATTGTTTGAAATTGCTGAAGATAACATTTGTATTCTACGACTATTTCGTGTATGAGAATGTTTAGACTGAAATTAGACATAAACTCCTAGAAATACTAAATATAATCATAATGAGTAACTTCCTATACTATTATAAAAGCAATATTGTTTATCGTCGAAATTATTAATTCTCTCAGCAGTTTGTGCACATACATTACCTTTCTCTCTGGGTTTTTTTTATAGACTTGCTGAGTAAATATAATTTATACGAGTGAAGAAAATGAGACATTTCTATTGTTTTTCTTCTTCTTCTTTCTTTTGATAAGAGACATGTATTATTACATTAAATCTGCTGTTCTTTTTCTCTTCTATTTTGACTGTATGAAAATTACATAAGTTTTCAACAATAATGACGTCTGAAACTTCTCTTTTTTTTTTTAAGTTGCTTTTCAGGTACGTAAAAATTCGTTTTCTCTTTTCTTCAAGATTATGTGAATTCAGAAAATTCAATTAATACAAAATTTAAGATAGAAATTTGTAAAATTGCGAAGAAGATGTTAGTGTGAGTGAAGAGAAAATTCTATTTTGACTTTTGCTATTTTAGTTATTAAAGTATGTTGTGAAACGATTCGTCATATGTCTAGGATATCTAACGAAACACTCGTGAATATATTGTTTTTAAAAATAATTAGTTTCAAGATAAGTTAACATCGAAATAAACATAGATTTAATCAAATATTTCATTTTCATTTCGTAAATCTTAATTATTGAAAATCTTTCAATAATTATTATCCTTAAATAAAAACAAAAGAAGCATTATGTTAATAAAATTTTTGAGAAAGAGAATAAATATATTTGACTGAAAAACTTAAACATCTACTCAAAAAATTCTTTATCGAACTAGTCTCATATCAATAAGTCTGTTAGTTGCATTTTCGAGGTTGATGGAATCATTAGTATTCCATCAACTTGTGAGAGTATCACTCTATCATTTGGATAGGTCATATGGTAAAAGTGTCTAGTTTTTTGTTCTAAGGAAGAATGATACATGTGTTGTTGTTCTGAAACTTCTTTATAATACAACTAAAGAAAATTCGTCGATGAAAATTTGTTCACAAGACTTCAACACGACCAACAAATGAATCTGAGAAAAATGCCACCGATCATAAGAGTTAAGCATTTGGAAAGTATTTTATCTCGTATAAATCGATATTGAAAATTTTTTTAAATAAACTTATTTTATTAAAAAAAAATCAAGGTATGAATATAATCTTCCTCATATAATCTTTGTTTATTTTTTTGTTTATAAAGAAAAAGCATCCATAATTTTGATATTAAATACCCTATTGTAAAATCAATCATTGTTCAATGTCTAGATATTTCCATATTTGATTATCGTACATGTATTGAAATAGAAATATTTTCTATGATTATTAGACCAATGTGCTCCTATTAAATTCTCATCGACGATAGATATAGGCTTTGACGTGTGTGCTTATGTCACTGTCAAATGTTTTCAATATCCAGATGCGAAGTAAATACCAACATTGACAGGCACATGTTAGCATACAATACATACAGGCATGTAGATGTGAGTGCAGGTTAATGTCTTATCTTCATCGAGATAATCGAATGGACAATCGTACTTATATCCGATTATGTATGGCGTCTGTAGAATTTCTGTAACATAGCTCGAGTTTTTTTTTTTAAATAGAATATCGATTTTTGTAGAGTTAGATAAGTGAGGAGTCAATTAAAAACTAGTACATTATTTTGATAAATATTCAATAAATTTAAATGTCTATAACAACAAGATCATATATGGCAATATAATGATGACTATCTTATAACTAATTTTGTTTTTGTCAATAATCAATATTTACAGTGAAAAACTAAATATCTTTTTAATATAAAGAAAAATGAAAAGAATATCTAAAAATGCTTAGTATCATTTTAAAATTAGAAGATTTGGAAAGCATCATTTGTGATAATTAATTAAAAATATTTATTCAAACGAAATAAAAAACAATTGATATAACAAATAATTGACGAAGATCATAAAATCGAAGTTGATAAATGACCTATATGTTATTAGATTTAATTTGTAGTTGATTTCACATTTCCATAATTTCGAAGTTCGATAATAGACATTTATTTATTCGATATCAGAATAATCCAGTCAGAAATCTATCGAATACCATTTTTTGTTGGAGATTTATATAATAACTAAAAAAGTATTTTTACCATGCTAATAGAATGAAATTCAAAGAATAGAATTCTTGTTTGTAGAGTAACATGTTTATTAAATTCTACTTAGTTAATATTAGGAAAAAAAAAAACATTTTAGAAATTAACTTCTAAATATGACAAAATGTTTGAAAGAATGACGTTAACTATAGATGTTTTGTTTTTATTTACTATTATGTTTAGATGTGACGAGAATATGAAATGATCGAAAGAATTTTTGGTTCTGTTTATTAAAAGTAGATTGTTTTTAAAAAAAACTACTCTTTGGTTTGATTTGATCACATTTTCTTGTGCTGAAAGAAGAAAACAAACTGTTGATGATTCGATGAGGATTGGTTGCTTTGCATTGTTCGACTTTTTATCGAAGCATTTTTAAAGTGAAACCTTTGAAATGATTTATTCCTCGTTGAAAACAAACCAAGTTATGTTGGATAAATAATATTAGAAGAAAATTACAATGAAAATTTAATCTTCAATTTTAAATTGACATCGACAAATTACAAAATATTTTCTAATTCTAACTAAATCGACTATAATTATCGTTAATAAATTAATTTATTTATTCTATTAAATCGATATTAATTTATAAAAAGTAAAATATAATACTAAATGAATAAGATAGAATATTCGAAAGAATAATAACGATTATAATTCGATTTGGAATAATCAACATTTAACTTGTTATGATTATATATTTTTTTCATATCGATTACTGATATTAGGAAAACAAATCTTGTTGTTTTTTTTTTATTTCAAATACAATTCATCATTTATTCAAATGAACTGATTTAGTTTTTTGTAAAAAAAAAAAAGAATTTTCTTTTTTCTTTCTTTTATAAATAATAATTGAACAAATAAGGTAAAACTATAATAAGTATTATTATAGAATTTCTATTTGTTGATAGAATTGTTCATATCTAACGATAATCAAGGGTAACATTCGACGATAATGACATCAAAATCTCGATCAAAACGACAGTAAGTTCTATAAAGAATAAAAATATTTCAAATTGTAATTAATAGTTCAAAATCGAATGAAGATTATTATACTATTCTTGGAGTTAATCGAGCAGCAACAGATGAAGAAATAAAACGTGCATATAGAAGATTAGCTTTGCAACTTCGTATAACAATTATAAATATTTATTTTTCATTTTTTTTTTATTTACATGAAATAAAAATATTATTTAGATCCTGATAAAAATCCTGATCCTGATGCAACTGCTCGATTTCAATCTGTTAATAAAGCTTATAAAGTACTTGGAGATCCAAAACTTCGATCAACTTATGATTTTTTAGGAGCACACGGTAAACATTTATTATAATCATATATTTATATAATAAAATATTGATTTAAAATAAATATAGCTGCTGATATGATGGATCAATATGAAGGTAAAATAAATAAAATATTAATAATATATTTAAATAGATTTTTAGAATATCCTCAAACAATGAATACAATGTCAACATGTAAAAAAATTCTATATGGTTTAATATGTTGTCTTACTGGTTGTTGTTTCTGTGGATGTTGTTTTTGTTTCTGTGGTTGTTGTTGTTGTTGCAATTTTTGTTGCAATGGATGTTGTGGAAAATATAAAAATTCTACTGTATCAACTTCAACGGTTAGTCAATTATTATAAATTTTTTTTGTTAATAATTATCATTAAATACATTAGGATGATACACAACCAGAGAATAATTCAAATGATCCATCAAATAATTCTCAAAGAACTGATTCTGTTCGTCAACAACCAACTGACAATCTTACAGATTCAGAAAAATTTTAGTTTTTATTTAATATAAATTAATGTCAGTGTGAGAGAATAACTGACTATGAATAGAATATATTTTTTCATTTATGATACTTTTTAATTATATTTAATCTCAAAGTATAATTAGTCTCATTTAATATTTAAAATCGAAAAGTAAATAGAATTTATCTTAGAGTTAAAACATTTTTCTAAAACATCATCATCTTAAGATAAAACCAATTTGAATGTTCTTATTAAAACTGATTATGTTTGACACTAGAATAGTTCAATCTATATAATGAATAGCTATATCTCATCAAATCAACGTCTATTTCAAATCTCGACTTTGAAATTCTTTGTTAGAAATCAATAACAAAGATGTTTTGGAGATAGTCAAACACTTCAATAATTTTATTTTTTACAATCAATCAGTATTGTTTATGGAATATATTTCTGATTAAATCCATAGTCTAACATTTAGACTTCTATGAACGAGATAATCAGTTGTTCAATAAAAAATAAATAATTATTATAGAATTATATTCAATAGTATATATATTTCGAAGTTAAATCATTCAAAATAAAACAATCGAACAATTATGTTACCTTTGTTAAATTATTTTCTATGTTGTTCATATTAGTTATAGCTACATTAATCAAACATAGAAACTTCTTGATAAGAATAAATTCTTCCTTTTATTATTAAATTCAAGATAGAATTTGAGATCTGAAAAAGGAAAAGAATTGAATATGAATTGGCTTCTATTTATTTTAACTATTCAATTCAATGTCAATAGAAAATTGAGATAATTATCTTCGATTGATCAATAGAGATATATAGTTAAATATTAGAATTCAACTCTTTATCATGATTAACGATCATTGATCGATTGTTAATATGATTATAAATGCATTGAATAAATCGATCATTTTTTCATGGTTTAATATCTACTTGAATGAAACTATAAGTCTAACTTCGTTATTATCTATCATATTATAAGAACTTGTTATTTCAATTATTGAAAACTTAAATAATTCGATAAAAAAAAAAACAACAGGACTATATTCAAGTTAATGCATATCATTATTATAGACCATTCATTATATTAATTGAATTATGAACAAAATAAAAACGTCAACCAGTTTTGAAAAAATATAACAATTGAGATTGGTAAACATTTCTCCAAATGTTCATTTTATTATAAATTTTCTTTATTTAGAACACTATTGAGATTTGTTGTTTATTGTTTCTTAAAATAATTTGAATTTATTTTTGAAATTAATTATAATTAAGTTAAATAAAATAATAACTTGGAAAAACTAATCAACAATAATAGTCAATTATATTCTTAGTTTTATTTTTATTTTCTCTTAGTTAATATCAGAAATATTTTCTTGATCTTCATCAGACATCAGAGAAAAACATCGGTTTATTTATTGTCTCAACAATTAATTTAATCAAAATCATTCTTCAAAATTCATGAAAAATATCATCTCAAGATGTATTATAGGAACAGATATAAATATCTATCATCAGATTAGTCAACATCATATATATTATATAAAATAAAATTTAATATATATATTATAGATCATTTTAAGGAAAATATATCATTTTCGTCTAGGATCTTCATAGAAAATAGATTTAATTGATCAATCTTCAATTGTTAATAGACAATTTGTTACATAATATAATCAAAAAACAAAAACTAACAATAAACATTTCGATATTCTATTAATGTTTAACGATGGTCATTTATTATCTCTAAACTATCGTTATTTAATCGTCCTATTATTTGTTTATTCTATATAGAATATTATTCAAAGAAAATGATAAACTATTTTAAAATCATTGAAGATTATATTTAGTTGTATGATCAAAGATTTTTGTCAATCAATCAAGAAATAATAAAGTTATTTGTTCATTTCTATATATCGAACTAGGATGTTAATGTTTAAACGCTTCTCAATAGCAATAATTTATATTGACATGATCAATAAACAATGCCAAAGTTATCATCAACTTTGATCGAGACGAATAGAAATTTTAAATAAATTCAACGATTAATTTTAAATCTATATAAATTCTACTCATTTCTATCAAAATAAAGAAAAATTAAAGCGAATCATCTTTCCTATTGAACTTTTCAATGTAATAAATATTTTATTTAAAATTGATCATTTTAATAATCATAGATATATTCGAAAATAAAACTTTATTATTTCAACGTTACTTTTTCTTTATTCATAAATAGAAGAAAAAAAAATAATGTTATCTATGATAATATGATTATTTTCTCTCATTTATAATTAAATATTCTTATTTATTCTTATGATTCATAATATATATTTCAAATAAATATTAATGAAAGATAGTTGATATATTCGATCTATTCGTATTTGTTATATTGAAAAAAAAAACTCATTTGAATATATTATTATTGATTTATTTCTATAGAAGGAGAAAGGTTAAAATATTTAACAAAGGCTAGTATTTATTTGCGCAATTAAAAAATCAAAGTGAGCAATAATTAAAATACGAATTAGCAATAATTTGTTGAGTAATAAAAAATTTTTTTTTGAGCAATTTTATATTATGAAATGGATAATAATTACTTCATTAAATTGCAGTAATGAATTTATATTTGAGCAAGAAAAAAAATCATATGTGAGCAACAAAAAATACATATTTGAGCAAGAAAAACTTTATATTTTCATAACAAAAAATTATTGTGTGACCAAAGCTTTTTTGGCTTTAGATGGTCTGCCCCTCTTTCTTTTTGTACCACTTGCTACATTTTTTGCCTCTGGTGGAGCTTTGCAATATTGTAGTCTTATAGACATCCCAATGACGTGCTTACAAATGTAGTTTTTCAGGAATGATGGAAAAGAAAAAAAAAAGAATATATATGTCTATGTTGTATATATGTAATCTATATAACATGATAAGAGGGAACGAAACTATAACGTTGATAAACCCATGCTATTTTTTTATATAGAATTTACGTTCAAATTAAATAAATTACTGCTCATTCAAATTAAGTATTTGTCATTCAAATTTATTATTGCTCATTTGAATTTATTATTGCCCGTTCAATATTTTTATTGCTCATTCAGTATTTTTATTGCTGATTGAATATATTATTGCTCATTTGAATTCTTCACTGCTCAATTTCAATATTGCTCATTTTAATCATTTTATTGCTCAGTTAGATTATTCTACTGCTCAATTAAATATTAGTCTTTAACAAATATAATAAATCTTATTTTTCTATTCTTGTTAAACGAAAATAATCATTTATACATGAATATATCTAATATATTTCTAATTCTCTATCTTCGAAAAACCATTCAATGACAACTATATCTAACGTCATCAATTATATTTGTTGATCAGTCAAACAAATTCTTTTATTATTATCATTTTCATTTCTCATGACACATTCTCTATTTAAAAAAAAAAAGATGATAAAACTTTCTAATCTTTGTCATTTGATTTTTTATTTCTAAACTTCTGAACGATATAATAAAAAAAAGACAAGTTATTTGTTAAAATCTTTCATATTTATAGACTGACAATAAATGTGTATTTCTGTTAACCTTTTCTCATCTATTACTAAACAAACAATAGACTAAACATAAATAACATATTAAATAATTCTTGTTTTGTTTTAATTATTCTCGTATTGATAAATATCACAGTGTTGTGGTTGAAATTATAACGGACACAAATATTTTCAAGAGAAAAACAATCATTTTCGACTTTCATTCAATAGCGTCAATTCAGGTTTGATTAAATAAAAAGTTGCTAAAAATTAGCAGAGATTATTATAAATCAGAAATAATCAGTCAAAATTCACTGAAACTCATTTGATCTTTGATGATTATCGACTAATTTCGGAATTAATTAAATTATTTGTTTATTCGTTGACGTCGTTCACAGTTTAACTGACATTCCATACTCATACCTACTTACAATTGATTTATAAGACTTTTTCAACATTCATTTAGTCTTCTCAAATCTCATCAAGTGTTTAAGTTCGCTGTTTCTACGTCGATATTATACTATTTGATTTTCAATTAGTCTTGTAAAAAATAATAATTGATAAGAGATATTTAAATAAATAAATAAGACGAATATATATTTGTTTTAAATAATATTAAATCGAATATCATATATATTCGATTTCAAACAATTTATATTAATAAATGATTAACAATTCAAATAGTTTCAAGTCAATATGGTTAATTTATGTTCTTGATTGTTTTTTCTCTTATATATATAGTAATATAAAGTGAGTTCTAAATAAAATCTAAAAAAAAAATCTTCTGTTTGTATTATGCGTCCGAAAACATTCGATAGAAAAATCTTAACTGATAGTTCAACATTAATTATTATGATAAAATAAATAAATTCCTATTTAATTTGATACTCTTTTATTCATTCTAAAATAAAATATTCATTGTTGAAGAATAGAAAATGAATATAACATGCTCTTAATAATCATCTCAATGACATTTAGTCAAATATTGTTCATAAATTGGCAATGTTATTTTAATCTCATATGGAAACTATAAAAGATTTAAATTAACTTTAGAATATTTCCATAAATATTTTAAAATCTAATAATTAATATTGCAATGATTATTTATATTATATTGTTGGATGTGTCTATTTTATCTCTTTATCCGTATCTCATCCAGAGAATATATTCTTCATAATTAATTATATATTTAAAATAATGTTTAATCATAATAGTTTCAACTAATTATTGGTTATTTATATAAATAATTTATCTAAAATAAGAAAAGTGCAATAACTCTATGAAACATTATTGACATAAGTAAGATCATATTAAAGCATGTGGCAACTTTAGAGATTAGAGTTGTGCAAATATTTGTCATAGTGACATCTCTTGCTTGTGGCTTTTTTTGTCAAAACAAAACAATCGAAAAAATTATTTATTGAAGAGAATGTGTCTAAGGAACTGAAGTGCAATATAGATAGCAAAAGTAAATGTGAAGGTGCAATGGACATCAAACTCTATGCTATTTTTAATGTATGTGGATCGGTGAGATATTTTACAAATAACATAATTAATCGATTTTTAATTTATATTAAGTTCAGCTATTTTACCAATCATAACTTTTTATAATAAAAAAGTTCATTCATTTGTTTAAATAATTCAAATATTCCTTTTATGTAATTATTCATATGATGAGAGTTTAATTATTGAAATTGGTTTCAATTATTTATATAATTTATTCGTGTATCCTGATCGAGCTTTTTTCTATAAGATATATTATTTTAAAGTTTCGATAAAGTTATCTTTTTCAAAAATGAATACCGCTATAGGTGTGTCAAGAGATAAATTCTCAGTTATTTATGAATATAGTCAATAACCAGTGATGTCCTCTTTCGTTTTGAAATATTGTAATAGGTGAAAGTAAACTAACCAATGAAAATTTGTCATATATAGGTTAAAGATATAAGTAAAGTGTGAAGGTGGAAATAAAAAGACATTTGTCGTTTGTTGTTTATCGTTATATTTACCTTATATAAGATAATGCTTTCACGTCCTGTAACTCGTTTATTAATCGGTAACATCGCTCGTCGATCATTTACAAGTCAAGCACGTAATAATAGTCGACAACAATATCAATGGTCACGATCAAGATGGAATTTTGGAAGTGCGACAACAAATCGAGTAGTTGCTGCTGCTGCTTTATCAGGTGGTATTGCATTTGTATTACATGCATCAACAACACCATCTGATAATAAATTAGCAACACCATCGAAAGTTGATTATAATGAAGTACGAAAATCGATTGCTGCTTTACTTGATGATAATAATTATGATGATGGAAGTTATGGACCTTTGTTTGTACGATTAGGATGGCATGCTAGTGGAACTTATTCACATATTGATTCATCTGGAGGATCTAATGGAGGATGTATGCGTTTTCAACCTGAAAGTGAATGGGGAGCTAATAAAGGTTTGTCTTTTTATTTAAATCGATACAAAAAACAAGAAGAAAGTATTTATTTTCTCGATAAATGAATATAAAGTTTTATTTTAGGATTACATTTGGCTCGAGAACGTTTGGAAAGTGTTTATCGGGCACATCCAGGTTTGACATATGCTGATTTATATACATTAGCTGCTGTTGTAGCTATTGAAGAAATGGGTGGTCCAAAAATAAAATGGCGTCCAGGTCGAAATGATCATAAAGATGGTAAAAAATCTCCAGCTGATGGTCGATTACCAGATGCAGCTCAAGGTGCTCAACATATTCGAGATATATTTTATCGAATGGGTTTCAATGATCAAGAAACGGTTGCATTAATTGGTGCTCATTCAATGGGAAGATGTCATACAGATCGTAGTGGTTATGATGGTCCATGGACATTCGCACCAACAACATTTTCAAATGAATTTTTTCGTCTTTTATTAGAAGAAAAATGGCAAGTACGCCGTTGGAAAGGACCAAAACAATATGAAGATGTTAAAACAAAAACATTAATGATGTTACCAGCTGATATGGCTTTAGTTGAAGATCCAGAATTTCGAAAATATGTTGTACAATATGCTAAAGATGGAGATAAATTTTCGAAAGATTTTGCAGCTGCTTTTGAAAAATTATTAGAATTAGGTGTAGATTTTAAAACTACTGACGGAAGTCGACAGGGAAAAAATGTATCTTTATGGTCAAGAATTTTTGGTTGAACATCATTTATGCTTCGTCTTTTTTATTAGAGCTTTTTATGAATGAAATGCTTTTCTTTCTTATGGTGAGAGATTTTTTTGAAACTTTTAATCAATTGTGACCTTATTAAAAAAAAATAAATATCTTATGATCTTAGTTAGAAAATAAAACGTCTTTTAAAAGAATATATTTCATCTTACCATTTTCTATTTCAAAATAGAATCAAACTAAAATAATGTTGAATAAGCTTGTCAGCATAAATATATTGTCATTTGTACTTTTCATACTTCTATAGAGAATTTCACAGAATCTATATATAAGCAAATATTTTTATTTTCAAACATATTCTCAAGCTGTTTGAAACAAGTTATGTGAAAAATCATTTCACCGATTAACAAAGCTTTATTAGATTTTTTTTTTTTTTTATTCATTTATTTATCTTCTAGTTCAAGGTTAACTATACAAAATCACTTTAGTCGCAGTTTCTTTTCGTTATTCCATTCAACTATTGAAACGAATGAAATCATCATAACTTAGTCTATTTCTCAAACAATTAAGATCAAATAATCAGAATAGACTTGATAATTATACTTCGGATATCTTACTAACAATAGAAAATTCACTGCAGATCATATTTTTTATCTAAAATATAGAATATATGATCAAAAAAGTCTTCTTAAATATCTATATAAATAGCACAAGTTTAGACATTTATAATACATATAAAAATTTAATATAAAGATACAAACTGGTCATATACATTCTCAGTCTTTTTAATAGATGTTTCAATAACATTTAACGATAGACCATTCAAAATTTCATCGATCATAATCACTCTAAAAAAGTTTATATAGTTTATATCTTCATCAGTGGTAGTTCGAGGTACCCAACGCCTTCTTTTTGGGAAAGGAGATGAGAAGTTTTTTTTTCTCACAGAACAAAAAAAATGTTAGTTTCACTAGAAAACAAGCGAAAATTTTTCATGATTGGGAGAGTATTACATCCGTGACAGCCTCCGTCGAGTCACTACTAATCTTCATATTAGATTTTTATATATATTATAAACGTCTAAACTTTTACTATTTATACATATACAAGAAAACTTCATTTTATCATATATTCTATGTTTTAGATCAAAAATACGATTCGTAATAATTATTTTGTTGATAGTTACCTTCAGATTCCAGTATTCATAGGGTCGATTCGCCCAGATAAATGTTCCAAAATCGCTTCTCGATAAAAATTATCATTTCTACTTCAATTACACGGGCTTCAAACAAAAGTACTTTCTGGACCAATTCGTCCCATAGAATATTCAAACAAATCTGCATTATATTCTAAGGGCACATAAGCAAGCTCTATCCATTGGTGAGGAATGACATGTCAAGATACCAGTCCCCATTAACTTGTTTGATCCATAATACCTAAATTGATTCTTCCCACAGAAACTTCCAAGATAATCGACAAACGTTCCAACTGTAACTTCGTGAGATCCATAGAACGATAAAAAACACATCTTCCTAAGATACTCCGTTTCCACGATATAGACCTATCGACAATCGAAATAGATTTTCGAAAATGCAATGTATTTCATGGAAAAGGCTTGAAGTTTTAAAAACTTTGATAAAATGTATTGGTTTTTCAGTGTGATTGTTTTTTTATTCTGTCATTGTAATAATAGAAAAAGATGTTTTCCAAGTTCATTCAGAAATTTTTACCTTAATTAGTTGACAAATGAACAAGTGGTGATCATATCATTCGAAGGACATTGTAGCAAAAAATGGTCTGTTTCTTTTTTCTTTTTATTCATTCGATGAGAATTGAAGCTGAACTGACCCAAAATGAGTCAATTTCCTAGATCATGCTCCATGAGTTTCAATATTAGCATGGAAAAACAAAAAAAAATGCTGCTTGTGTGACTTTGAAAAGTTGACTGTGGGCTACAAAATAAATAGATTTATATTTAAAAAAATCTAATAAAGTTTTCGTAATTGGCGAAATGATTTGTCAGATACGTTGTTGGGAATAGTTTAAAAGTGTCTTTGAAAATTTGAATATTTTAATAGATATATATTCGTTGAGATTCTCAATTGAATCTTGTTTGACTATAATTCTAATTTGAAATCGACATTAGTCTTTCATATTCGATAGATAAATAAATATTATTCATCGTAATAAATGAGCATAAGCACTAGTTATTTTTCGTTTTCAATTCAATACATCAATATTTGGTTACAAAAAGAAAAAAATCTTCTTAGATTAAAATTAATCTAAAAGTAATGAAAAATAAGTTAATATGGAATAGAATATGAACTTTTTATTGATGAAAATTATTATATATAATTAGTTCGTCTCTAGACATGGAAAACAAAAACAATTCAATATCAAAGATCTATTTATTCTTGTAAATAAATACGAATAGTTAGATCATTCAAACTTGGAACATATCTTATTAACCTTGAGAAGAATTTAACCTGTTAAACTAATGTAAAATCAATAAGTTGTTCAGCAGTAAATAGATTTATGATGAATTTCGATGAATAATTAATATAAGCTTATGTTGTCATAATATAACTTATTCAATGAACTTTCTATGATTAAGCAGATTCAAACTATGTTTAATTGATTAGAATTTTTCAAGTTTTATTTTAATGAAATATTTCTTCCGTATTATTATTTATATAAACTAAAAAAACAGGAAAACCTTTCAACGAGATTCAAAAAAAAAACAAATTTGTTGAAATATTATATAGAAACAAAAAACGGTATGTCAATCTATTTATCTATCTATTATTTTCAGCTCAATATTTCACTTACTTCAATCGATAGAACATTTTTGTTTCATTATTTGCTCGTTCACTATTACATTAAACATTGTCGATTTAATTATTGTTGCTTCTACACATATAATATATCAGATAATGATCGATCACAACATTTTTCTCAATTAATAATCGTTCGAAACAATAATAAAATGTATCATTTATATACAGATAAGTAAAATTTATTTTCTGTTAGTGATTATCAGTCAACGTTACTGAATAAACATATAAGAAAATAAGATTGTTCGACAGAATAAAAACTTCTCATCAGAAAAGTTTACTAACTGATAAACGTCTTTTAAACTTATATTTCGTCTGTAGTTAGGACTCATCATCGAGATAAAAAAGAATCCTGGAAGAGTTTATTCCCATAGACTTTTCTTCTTAAGTTTTAGTTATTTGAGTAAATTTTCCGACTATTCATAAGGTACTATGAGAAAAACTTTACCTAGAAATTCTTGTCTGAAAATTTTCTTGATAATAGATCTTATGATTATTATTATGTTCCAAAATTTTTAACTCAAACGAATAGTTATCTTCTCAGATAATAAATCTGTAAAAATCACTAATTTCTCACAAAAGTTTCAAAATTATTTCATTTTTCAGATATTTCACATCCGAATAAAACTTATTCATTTGAGTTAAATTACAGTACCGTGTCATAAGCTGAAAATTTACTCAAATGATCACAAGGTCGAGAAAAAAGAAAGTCTGAAGTGTACGAACTTTATTAGGGTTTTCTTTAATCTAGATGATAAGTTCTATCTAAGGACAAAATATGGTTCAACACAAAGTTTTAATCAGTTAAATAATCGAAGATGATTGTGACGTTTCCGATTGTGTTTATTATACACGATAATCTATTCTAATTATTCGATGGAATTGAGTGTTCAATTATCCCTTATCATCTCTTCATATCACATATTTTATTCTTTTTTTCTATTATAATAATGCATCGTGAACCATCTCGTTCTCTTGAGTCTTCTATAATTTATCCTATCTCTTCTACTTGCGTATATAAACGTGTACTTTTGATGTACAAGATACGATTAATGATATGAAAATAGTTAAATAAAGCGTAAATCTATCAAGACTAACGACTCTGATATTTAAAATCATTTCGATCATATATATATATATTTATATCGATATTAATAAATAACTAACTCCTGATAGATTTCTATAATAATGATTATACATCTGAATATTTCTAATGGATGAAAAAAAAAGTTCTAATTTTATTAATATAAAGGTTATTAAGAACAGAAGTTCTTTGATCAAGGTTATTTAAATAGAGTATCAAACAATGTTTTGATTATTCATCATTGTTAATCAATAAGATAGAAAGAAAAAAAAACTATTACTTTTAAAAAGATGTCTCCTAAATCAATAATAAGACTAAATCAATAATGATCATTCTTTCGTTTTTATTTTCTTTTGTAAATTTATGATAAAAAGAGTAATAAAGAAGAAAATTTATCTAGACATTTGTTATAATATACCTTTATTGCATATATAAATATATTATTTGTGAAATATAATTGATTTGTCAATATGTATTATTATTTAAATGTTAGAAGTAAAAGTAAAGATAAATAATCGATAAAATATTGACAAAACTATTTACTTTTATATAAATATAACTTTAGCAAAAAAGAAAGAAGATACTTATTATTAAATCAATTCATCGAAAGTAAAGGTTAGTCAAAAAAAAAGAAAACTTTTGAAAAAAGTCTTTCTTCACTATCATAATTCATAGAATTATTCAAAAGTGATAAATTAAGAAATGTTTTTTCTAATAAATCTTCTTATATTATTTATTGTTACACATCAAATTAATGGAGATGATAATGATGGAAGAGGTAAGAATAAATAAATATTATTTATTCAAAAAAAAAAAGGCAATGTTATATAATAAAGGAGCAAGTGCATCTTCGACAGAAGTTGGTGTTGGATGTTTTTCTGCTGATTCATCAGTTATTTTAAATAATGGTCAACTAAAACAAATAGATCTTCTTAAAACTGGTGATCAAATTCTTACTATTAATCATAATAAAATTGTTTCAACTGATATGATTTTTATGTTAGATAAAGAAACATCAAAACAAGGTAATTTTTTTGTTTTCATTAGGTTTTTTTCATTTCTATTTAGTTTAATTTAGCTAAATTTTATACATTTATAACGGATTCTGGTCATAAAATAAGTTTAACAAGTGTTCATTTAATTCCAATATTATCTTCTAATTCTAAACTCGATTATATACCAGCTAAACAAGTTAAATTAGGTGATCAATTTAATGTTAATATAAATGGTAAAGTTAATTATTCACCAGTTCAAAATATAACAATTGAATACAAAAGAGGATATTTTGCTCCATTAACAATGACAGGTAATATTATTTTTGATTTTATTTTCGTTTAAATATAAATATATTAATTAATGTAAAGGAACATTATTGGTAAATGATGTATATTCAAGTTGTTATGCATTAGCTAAAAGTCATAAATGGTCACATTTATTTATGACACCTTTTCGTTGGTATTATAAATTAACTCGTTTTATTTCTATTAATGATCCATTTGATAATAATAGAAATGATGGAATTTATTGGATTATAGATATAATTCATCAATTAATTAATTATATTCAACCTTCAATATTACAATCTTTATAAACTAATTTTTTCTTTTTCTCTTATGTTTAATACATTTTGTTTTTTGTTTTTTATCTTCTTATTAATATCTATATTCATCCTTTATTTTTACTTCAAAATAAAACAATTATATTGAAATTCCTGATTAATTTATTTAAAATAATTAATAATCATTCTTGTTTTTATTTTCTCTATTTGAGAGAATATCGAAACTCATTAAATTATATAAGAAAAATCATCTCGAGAAAAAAGAACACATTATTACATGTATCTTTCTTAAGTATCATTTATTTATCACTTTCTTAGTCATCGAATAAACACGATGATAAAAGATATTAATTATTAAATTTATCACTTTATATCAATTCAAATGAAAAATGATAAATAATCTATCGAGATAAAATAATTCTATATTGTTGAATAATGACACGATCTATGATTATAGTATGTTTACTTCTTTAACATTACTATTAATTAATCTATCTATATATAAAAATAAAGAATATTAATCGATATATTCTAATATATTATTAATTTTATCTTTTATGTAAAGATAGAAAGAAAAAAAACAAAACAAAACAAATTAATAATAATAATAGATTTATTTTGATAATCGAACAATTATTATTGTTTTAATTGTTTATAGTCAACTTTGTAAACTTAAATATTCAATATAATCAAGTGAAAAAAATTCTTTATCTTCTGCCATATACCATTGATAATTAAGATAAATTCTTTTAATATGTCATTAACTAATTAATTATACATTAAGATCATTGTTTTTTGTCAATAATATATGTCATTTTATTGATTAAATTGTCTTTTTTCTTTTTATTTAAGATCGACATAAAATAAAAGAATATTAAAAAAAACAACGAATGTATGCAACTTCCGACGCATAAATTAGGATTCTTATAGATATAATTGATATTTTCCTATCTATTGAATTCGAATTCTAACTAAGATTTCGTTTCTGCATTCTCTCAATTATTTAATTGATATTATTTTAATTTAAATATTGAAATCATAATTGCAGTAACAATTGAAATTAACTTTGATTTATAATACAACTAAATCTGTGGAGTTTTTGTTCGGAAACATATAAGAATATTTTGAATTACAAATACTAATAGTACACTGTTTATTATGGATCTTAATAATTAGATGGACATGTATATATATATATAATAGGTATCTACGATGAAATTATCTAACTCTATCAGAATTGATAATGGTGAAATACAAATAAAGATTCAAAATTTTTCTGAACTCTTTTCCTATGTCATCTATGAAGGGAAAATCATATATCGTTGTAACACGATAGCTAACTCAATGCAATTATTCAAACAGAGTAACACACAATATTATCAAATCTTATGATTTTTTTGTTACTTTTAATCAGGTTCGATTAAAGCAATAATTTCAATCAAAAAAAAAATGAACAAAGAAAAAAAATAAGTACTATAGTTCGAGTTAATAATATATTAACTGATATATTCTTGATAAAGAAAATGTGTTCAATTGATAAAAATGAACTCTAATAAGAATTTTTTGCATCTTTTTCGAATGTTTATTTCAAGTCAAGTTTCAATAATAGAAAACCTTTATAATATAATTAAAAACAAAAATTTTAAAAAGAAATCAGCTTATTCCTGTCGAAACAAATATTTTAATTTATTTGATTGTGTTTATCATGTTTTTATTTCAGGTCCAAGATAATTATTCTGATAATTTACCTGATAAACACAAATAAAAAAGTTAATAAGAGTGAATAGTTTTTTTCTTTAAGAGAATATTATCTCATTTTTTCTTTTTCTAGACAAATTTCAAAAAACCTTTATGTTTTACATTGAATATGTAAAGAAAAATTACTTGATTCTTCTTGAAGTCTTTTTAGAAAAAAAAAGGTCTTAATTAAATTCTGATTAATAATGCAAAAATCATCATTTCGAAAAATTGAATTTGTTATTCCTATATTGGACAAAACAAAATAAAAAATGCTATGAAAGAATGAACTTCTAACTTTGAAATATTCACGTATTGTGTATTAGCATGATAAACATAAATAAAATAGACTTACATTTAATTGAGCAATAATTATACTGAATGAACAATAGTTTATTTAAATTAAAAATAATTTTTTCATAAAAAAGGGGGGGGGGGGCAATACGAATTGATTTATGTAAATTGTATGGTTTTTACTGTTATGTGTTTACGTGAGTTAGATTTTTTCGACCGTACACACTTGAAACGTGGTATATGAGAAAAAACAATGAGATTGAGAAGACAATAGAATTTAATATTTGATCTTCCATAAAAGAGAACATTGACATATATATAACATAAATATCAAAAGTGTTGGAAAAATTTTCAAGATGATCAATAGGACAAATCTAATAGAGTGAATTGAAAAATTCTTATGTTAAGAATTTATTTATACAAACCGTATTTTTTCAATCTTATAAAATAAAATATATAATTTATATAAATGGCTCAATCACAATGTGTAATGTAGTATATTTCTGAGAGTGAATGTGACAATGGTATGGGAACTATTTTGTCTCTTGATAACAGGGTGAGAGTGGGGATGAAAACCTTCACCAGAGGCAAAATATGTGGATATTGATACTAAAATAAAAGGAGGAAGACTAGCTGAAGCAAAAAAGCTTTATTGACACAATAATATATTCATTTTTCGTTTTTTTTTTATTGACAATTGTAAATAAAAATATTTTACTTTTCCTTTTTTGTTGTTGCTAAAATATGAAATTGCTACTGCTATTTAATGAATTAATTATTTAACATTTAATATTCATAAAATTGCTCAAAACTTATTGCTATATCGTATCTTAATTATTGCACATTGACATATTTTTATTGGTAAAATAAATACTAGACAATAAAATATGTCAGTTTTACATATTAATTTTAGCTTTATTCGAATAAGGTTGATAATCTTTGTGATGTTATGTTTGGTAACTTAGATATAAGAATCATTTAAATCTTTGTTGTTTGGAACACAACAGGTTTATATGATAATAACTTATATTATATTTATCAGGTCTTCGAGTATATATACGCAATATAACTCAGAAAAAAAATGGTCTAATTACGGACGATAAAAAATTTTTAAGTCACGCTATCGAGAAGAAAATCATTAATTGTTTTATTTTCCGATGATGGTGTATGAAAATGTCATTTAAAAATATACTTAAATAAATAAAGTAGTGTTTGACTTCACACATGGAACCTTCTAATGGTCATCAATCGTTAAACAATGTTAGTTATGAAACAGCTTTTATTCGTAAAGACAATCGAGATATAAAACATCTTTCTCAAGATAAAAATATTAAACAAACAAGAAGTTTATCAATAGTATCAATGCTAGATAATGAAAAAACAAAAAACAGGTAAGTTTTTGATAATATTTTATCAGATTTGATAAGTCAAATAATTATTAAATATATTATTCAACTTTTGCCAATTCTATTTAGAATGATTTCTTTGTTTTTTTTTTAAAAACAAATGAATTATTTTCGTCAATAGAAAAATGATGAATCATTTTGAAATAAACTGCAAAGAATCTATAAATCAATTTCGAATTACTCGAGTAATAAAAGCAACATCAAATTTATGTTGAAATGTTTTGAATTAGTTTTCAAATAAAACTTCTAATTTTATTCTTATTATGTTATTAGAAAAAGACCTTACAATGATAACTAGAATATATGATAATAGTTTATCATCAGTAAATGATCAAATAAAAATAAAATATATACACAGAGAAGATTCGAATATGATTAATTATAACTAACTTTCATTGAACATCGAAACAAAATATGAATTATTATTATAAAAATATACTATTTTAAAGGTTATATTTGATAATTTTAACATTGACTTTTATTCATTGTTTAGAATAAAAAATAAAATTTATTCAAATAAGAGATAAAAGATATTGACATAGGTTTTATAAAAGAAAACGGAAATGATTTCTATTATGAAGGATTAAATCAATATTTAGAAGTTTTTTTTGTCAAAGATCAAATGTACGAAAAATTTTTATGATTGTTTTCATAAATTGATTTAAAATATTAATTAGAATAAAATGAAATTTATTAGAAGTATAGACCAATAATAAATTATTTTGGTTAAATCATCGAATATAAAAAGTCATATTTCACCTTATCAAATATAAATTCAGCAGTCACAATTAGTTTTTTGTTTTTGTTAGAAGTGTTGAACGAACAAAAAAAGAAAAAATATATCCAATATTTGAGACTATCCGTTGCTTCTCTCCTATACTTATCAAAGTTTATTCGAGAAATCCTGTCTAACAGAGTTTAGTCGACATTAAATATAACTTAAAGTTGCTTCTATTATTTATCTGCTAGACAATTATTGTGTGTCAACGACGTTAGTTAACATCTATTTAATAATAATTCCTCCTCTTATCGTTTTCTTTAACTTAGGCCTTCATTTGTTTTTTTACAAAATATTATATTTAAATCGATTTTGATTATATTTACTGAAGTATCTTTGAACTAAAATACAGAAATTTTATATATTTATCTCAATAAATTGATAAAACAAACAAGAAAAATATTATTATTTTATTGACAATATCTTGATTATTAGGTCAGGTAAATATCGATTATCATTAGCTCCAACCAGTGAAGAAAAATTTGAAGCTTTGAAATTGTCAAGACAATACAATATAAAATCGAATAATGATAATAATTTATCGACGTTCGAAGAATTGAAAACTGGATGCAATAACAATGATCATCAAGTTGAAGAATCTTTTTCAAAATTGAAGGTAACATCAATGAATTTTATCTTATTTTTAACATTTAAAAAAACATCTTTCACTTTGGAAAGACATTTTCTATCGAAGAGTATATGACAATAATACGAAGATGGATAATTTACCGAAAATACACAGAATTGAATGATAAAAAAAAAAGGCAAAGATCATTATCTTGTTATTTAACTTTCCAACTCATATTTTCAATCAATAATTTTCTCTAGAAAATTCTAGTCAACAGAGATCAACATTTATTTTCCCGTAGGCATGCATTCTATTATCGAAAAAACCGTCTAAATATATAAAACTAACTTTTTATAAGACTTAGAAAATCTACGATCACATATTTATTTTTAGAAGTTTTTAGTAACTTATAAAGTATACTTGTCTATTTTTTTACTCTTTTCAAAGATTGATAAAAGTAACAGTAATGAAAGTCTAGAAGAAAACAAAGACAACACTTCTGAAAAGACTAATCAAACAGAAAATAATATTAATGAAACAATTGAAGAAGAGATTAATTTATCAGAAGATACAAATGAAAAAGATATTTCTTTGGAAGAGAAACTTGCAGATAATCATGAATTAGAAATCATTGGCATAATGAATTTATCTTCAATGAATTTGACCGATAATGATATGCTATTGGTCATACAACGAGCTTTTTATGATAATAAAACAAAATGTATTGGCCTTATCTTGCGTGATAACGCCCTGACATCAATTGGTGTGAAAATTCTCGTTGATGCAATAATTTCATCACGAACTAAATTAAAATATCTTAGCTTTTCGAACAATCCAAATATAGGAGATGAAGGAATAGAACATTTGATTCGTTTATTACAAAAAAATCGTTCGATTACTTTTTTGGCCATACCTAATACGGGTATGACAGATCATGGTGTTCGATTACTAGCCGATGTACTTTGTCCTGTTGATACTGATTCAATTTGTCCACCTCTTGAAAAACTTCATATATCATTCAATAAATCGATAACTGATCAATCAATTGAAGCTCTTATTCAAATAATTGAACAAAATCAAACACTGAAATTACTTTCTTTGCAACATTGTAGTTTGTCTGACAAAGTTCGACGACAATTGAAAAAACTAGTTACAAAAAAGAAGAAAAAGAAATTTAGTTTTTCCGAGTGAGATTATTAATATGAACTATATATTAAATGTCTTCATTTTGTTTTTCTCCATATTTAACATAAAATACATTATCACTACAATTTTATTTGCGTTTTTTTTTCCTTATCTATGCTTTTGTCTTTATCGTCTAAATGTTTTTCTATGTTACTCTCGTATTAACATTTTTGTGCTTTTCAATCTGATTATTTGTTCTTTCTCTCTTACATTTTTTCATATTCATCAATAAACATAACTTGTTCATTGTTGACATTCATACTAGAATCCTATATATCATTATTAACTAACAATATTGATAAAATTCACCACTCTTTATCCTTCTTTCTTAAATTCTAACAACTTGTTTCTTTTCTTAGTTTAATTTGTCATTATGATTGTCAAACGTTTGATACGTTTGCTAAGAATGAAACTATCCGAAATTCTTCATCCATTTATTGTTACTCTGATAAGATATTATTAAATGAACAGTAAGGTGTAGGTATTTGTCTTCTTATCAACCACACACATTCTACTTGAAAATTTCTATTATATTACTTTGTCTATAGATATGTCACTGGTGTGTCTTGTTGATATAGAAGACGCAAATTCATTGTAATTAAATATCAATTAATGAAAGGGAGAGACTTCGTGCAAGTAAACATAAAAATCTAACGAGAAGAAATAAATCATATTGTAATATAAAAGAAAATACATAGATTTAACAAAAAAACCAATGGCTGTATTCGAAGAAGAAGTATAAATGATAATCGACAAAAACAAAACATTTTGTTTTATTCTCAACTCGAATGATAAACAGAACTGTTGGGATTTGAGCTAGATTAACCTTATCAAAGATGAAGAAGAACAATACGTGATGTCTTAAATATAGTTTCGCTTTTCTTCTGCTTTGTTCACAAGAATCTAATAATGAACTGGTCAATCGAATGTCCATGTCATTACAAAAGTACATTACCCAGAGTTACAACCATTAACGATAAACGTCCGGTCCGTCAAGAATTTTGTTTTTTAGTTTTTTGCATGCCTTTTTTTCTAAAAGACTAGATGATAGAAGTACGTATTTTTCTTCTAAGTGAAATATTTTTTCTTGGTGCTGAAGACTATTACTATAAAGTGAAGATGTACCACAATACACTTAATGTGTTTGATCAACTTAGTTCAACATTAATTTATACTATCGAAATGAAATCGAAGAATTCTTATCTTAGGTTTTCAGAAATTTATGTGATTTTTTATTGTTCATAAGATAGTATATTTTAAAAATAAATAAGAGAGGGCACGGTAAATATATACGATATTAATAATCTATATATGGAATGAACAGTTCATCGATCTGAAAAACATCTACAGAATTTATAGTCTTATGGAAGAATCTATAAAGAACATTAAGTCAACAATTGGTTTTCTTTATTCTTTCCTCTCTTTCAGTCTTTCGAATTTATCCGATTTTGACCGATTATCCTCTTGTCACCGTCAGTTTCTAAATTTTTCTTTTGAGAAAAAAAAACTTAGTTGTTTAGTTATATTTCCTTTTCAAATTGAATAATAGTTGATTAATTAAGTGTATGAGAAGAAGTTAAATACATATATAGATCGAGCACATTTTTATAGTAGAGACTATCGAATCCCGTCAGAATCAAACAAAATCTTTTACACTAGATTTCGATAGATTAGACATTCTGAATCTATTAAAGAGTGAGTCATTGAATTCTTCAAAATTCTATTCTATTCAAAAGCTTTTATTTAATCATTCATATGTTTTATTCATTTATCCATTGAGTGCTAGTGAATTTTTATAAGGAACTCTTTTAAGAGATGTTGCATGAAAAATAACCGGAGATAGCGAAAACATGAATATCAACTGATTTTCGATTTGATCCCCTAAATATTTCAGATCTTATGTAACATAGATGAATCTAAAATATTACTGTCTAATGCTGTAAATTTGGTTCATTAGGGCTGTCTGAGCACAGATACCCTCAAAAATAGAGCAAAAAAGTGTGAAAAATTGACCTATACTTTTTTGAATTTTCTCCGTCGAAAATTTTTCACTATTCAAATTGAGTCATATACTAATCGATAGAGCTTGATTTGCTCTACAAATCTGTATATATGGTACTTCTCTCTAATCTTAATTTAGAATCGAAAAAGTTTAAGAACTGTGATTTTTCAGCATATAAAATTTGGTCCGTTTTTTAGTATTTCGGTTTTATGTCTACGAGAGAAACAAACCACCAAAAGGAACTTTGTATTGTTTTGTAGCCCATTCACTTCTGCATTGAATCGTATATTAGTCATTCCTTTAAAACGTTCGAAAGCTGAGATAGGCAGACTTGAATATCGATCGTTGATACCATATTTTAGTGATTTTATTTTATATATAGCATCATATCAAATTTCTTTTTTGTTTTCTTCACAGAATTTCATCTTTCTAGTTGAGTCATATATCAATCGATCAAGCTTAGCTTGCTCTACAAATCTTCACATGTAACATTTCTTCTTCATCTTAATAAAGAGTCGAAAAAACGCGAAACACAGTGTATTCTCAGCCTAGAAAGTTTTCTTTTCTTCCAGTATGTTGATTAAACATCTACTTTAATATAACACGTAGTTTGTAATATTTCAAAATTCTTTTCGAGTTTAGTTTTAATTAAAATCAGAATATGTCATTTTAGTTTATGTCAACAATTATGATTATAACATGGGATCTAGATTTACGTGAGTGAATTATTATTTAGTATTGAAAAGTTTGCCATATGTTTACTAACAATATTGAAATGAATTAGTTTGTAAAAAAAATTTAATCTCTACGACTCTAATATCTGTTGTTATTTGTCTGTCTATACTGAATCAATATTTAGAGCTATCCATAACTACGGTTACACCGCAATACTTTCAGATTGTTGTCCCAAAAATCTAACCAGCCTTATCTTAGAGTTATTTACACGAGAAAGTTTATCAATAATATGCTGTTGGCTACTGCGGAATATTGTATGTTTCTATCGTTATGTGACAAACGTTGCTGCTGTTTAGAGGAGGAATAGTGTCGAATTTTATGTCTATATATCAAGCCTACGAAATGGCTTCTAACAACCTTTATAATTGTATGAAAGATATTTGTCACGTCTTCTGTTATTAGAAATCCTGTTGGCAATGGATTTTTATCAATTTTGTTGAGTGCATGTTTTCGATAGTTCATCATGAGATTTTTTTAAAAACCTAAAAAGGTTTCATATTAATCATTTATAAGACTATCGTACATTTGGTCGCTGAAGAGATGAACAAATACATAGAAACCTGTTTTCTCCTTAGCTGGTTTTGTGGAATAGCTTTAATTTCGGTTTAGAGCGAGTTGATTTTGTAACTTTTTTTGACGATGAAAGAATGAGTTACCACAATTTGAGTAGATTCATTCATTTAGCTCGTTATATCTTGAGTTTCAACTAATTACGAAACAATTATCCAAGAAGATTATTGTTACACACGGAATCTTTCGTTCAATCATATGGCTTTCAGTTTACAGCCTGCAATACTTTGGTCTATTAAATGATAATATATAACTCATTTGTGTTAATTAATCATTTTTCATGTTATTATTCTTTAGAAATATCAATGTGAGTATATTTATATTCGGGTTAGCTAGTTGTAAAATTTTTCTATCAGGATTAAACGTAAAATATACCTTGTGCGTATTACACTAGACTAATTTCTAATGCATGACTTTTTCTTTAAGCTACAGGAGAGTTTTCCAAAGTCAACATTCAGTTTATCTATGAGTAAGATGTAATGACGTGTTTGCCAAATTGTAAAGCTTATTGATTATGATAAACGAATGCTCGAGTTCATTTCATAAGGATATATGTCAAACGATTTGATAAAAAAAGTTGAAATCTATATCTCGTTTAATTGTACTCTACAAATCGAATTTTCTCTTGAGAGATTGTCCCATAATCTGAAAATAACATCATGCGTAAGTATTTTCGATTACTTTGAAATTCTTCCGATTCTATGTCTGCAACTGTTTGACATAATTCTAATACAATCATCTTTGATTTGAAACCTAGACTTGTGGTTAATTATCCATTTAGATTTATGTTGATTACATTAATGTTTAGTGGAAATCAAATGATAGAAGAAAATTGATGTCGACGTTCAAAACCGTTCGATATGTATTGCATCTTATTCGAAGAAAAGAAAGTTCTGTGACTGCAATATTTATAATATTATCGCATACTTTTAACTTCTATTATTATAATAAAGCAAAATAAAAATTCTTTTAGAAAATATTTTTTCTTTTAGCATTTCTTCGCTGTTGAGTAGCAAAAATTAGAAACAATTTCTTTTCTACAATGAAACTATAAGAAAGAATGAATATTAAAAAATTTCATGTCAATTATGTTGACTCGCATGTGAGAGCACAAGTCTTAAGGAGAAGTTTTCATATTGAGTGAAAACTATGGGTTAAATTCACAGTTATGTTCAAGATACGCTTAATTATATGCTTATAACAGTATTCAATAACTAACTAGTATGGATTCGTTGACATACGGAAAATAAAGCTTCATAATATATATCTTTCATACAATTTGATAGAGAAAATGTTGGAATTTTGATATTAGTAACACATGTTAATATCTGAACTACAGAACTCGAGCGATACGGTCCGTATACGGCTGCTTATGTAACGTATTGAACTGTACACGACACTATTCAGCAAAGTCACCATGAAGATAAGACTAGATGGTATTCGAGATTCTCTTGTTGTAAGTCGCTCCTGTACTAAAGATGTTCACGTTTTGCTGATTCAAACATTGTTTTGTCGCTATGAATCGAAAATGTTAAAATATCATCAATGAATTGATCAAAGTCAAACTCAACGTGAAAAGCTGCCATAGTAAAAATCATCATTACGAGAGCTCTATGAATGTCTGTCAGCGTTCTTCTTAAGAATATTATCGATTGATTGTTTAATTATCTATATGATTGATTGTCTATAAGGCACAATCAGCACGTATCCGAAAGACTTTTAACCAAAAATAAATGAACAGTTTTTTGTTTTCAATCTTTTTTACATAATATAATCACAAAGGGTATGTACCGATACTAATACTAAATATATCGCATGTGTCATGTTTTTCAACAGAAGGTGCTCGTTAGGATACATTCGGAAAACGTGAATTGAGTTTCTTCTTCGGCAAGTCCCGTAGTTTTTTTTCGGAAGCTTGAATAATTACTATTTTCCTAGCTTGACTTGAATTATTAGCAACTATTCTTGGAGTACAAGACGGCAAGATCCTAAGATCTAACAACATCAAGTTGATTTGATCTTGACTGGATGACTTCGAGATAGTTTAATCTCGGTCATCGATTGATCTCTCAATATGTTCTAGACTGATGACTAAAATATCTATCATATGACATATTTTTATGGTACAGTCTGTGGCATATTTTATTTTAATGTGTTAACTGAGCACACTACGAGAGTTTAAATTAATTTCTGATGAAAAATATTGCTTATTGTATCGTATTTTGTTTCGAAATGAAAATCATTGCAAAAATCATTCTAATTTGTATCACTGAGACACTTTGTTGCGATACTCTTATCCATTTCGAGGGTGTGGGTGTGGGGTGGGGGTGTGGGTTTGTGGTTGTGAGTATGAATGTTCATTGTGTCTTCCACCCATATCTACACCCACACCCTCGGTGTAATCGGGGATCGTTTCACCGGTTGATCGGTCTGATCGTTCACCGTTTCGAGCGGTGAAACGGTGACGGTGAAGCGATCATTGATCGTCACCGTTGCATCGCTAGCACGATCATGATAGATATTAGCATTTTCTTAATACAAAATTAACACTTATGCCAAAGTATTAAGTTAATTTTTTAATTTTAATACAAAAGCATTAAAAAAAAGTATTAATTAATGCAATGCTAATGCTAATCTGACACCCCTGATATATATATAACAGTTTCATTCGACATATAATTCAATGCTTCTTATAATAAAAATGTAAAATTAAAGAAAAAAGCAGTGTTAAAAATGAAAAATACTGAGCGAATAGCAACAAAGAAGACGAAAAATAAGGGCGCCTATCAGAAAATTAAAAAAAATCGTGATTTTATACTATCTATATTGCATATTAGTACAATGAAGCTGAAGAATATACGTGAGTTCCACATATTAGCCCCAAAGGGGCTGCGCTAACAAGCTTTTTCTTTCTAAAATTAATAAAGAATTAACTTTCTGTAAACTTAAGCATCTATTTAAACATGAACAAAGTTGTTGTTCTAAAAATTTAAGTTTTGAAATATATATTTTACAAAATCAATCCATCGGATAGAAGCGCGTAAGATACAATTATTTTTTTAAAATAAAATTGATTAAATAGAAAAACAAAGATTTCTTTTAACAAACTTAAGTTTAATACTCACTTTGTTATAATTCCTAGCGATGAGTTGACTATTACAGATATGTCTTAAAAAATTGTTCTGTGCTGTGCTTGTTGCTTGCCACTAGAATGTCTTGTGTTTATCGTGGAGACAGATGTCCACGGTTATTATGATTGTTATTTACAGATCTTTTATACTTAAATATTTAGATAATTAGCATTATAGGTTACAGTTAAAACCAAAGTAATCATGGCTCGGAGAACTTCGAATGCCATAGGATGAGATCACCGCAGCTCATTCGAAGCTCTGTTGACTGATGTCAGTAGTTTCTAAAGATACTCGAACATGAAAATTATCAGTACAATTTTAGCTTTTCATACAATATTTCGAATAGATGATATTCATTATTAGACTACTGCGTTCAACCTGTATTTCAAATTTTGAAACAAGATATAACCTTATTGGCTGATGCATTACAATATAATCAGGGCTGGCCCGATAGGGGGTTTTGGGGTTGTGACAACCCCCCAATAATCGAAAATTTTCGTTTTTCCCTCAGCGAAAACGAATTTTTATTCGCATTGCAAAATCCGGAACAACCCCCCAAAAAAATCGCGACAACCCCCCAATGTTTGCTGACTCGGACCAGTCCTGAATATAATACAGTAAATTTGGTAGTTTATTCATTTATTGTATTTATCTCGTATAATTTTTATACATAGAAGCTTGGATAACAGAAAATAAAAAATTCTTGTTTGTGCTTTATTTAAAATGCGTAGTTAAAAATTTTTATTGTTCAATTAAAAATAAGAAACTGCCAATGAATTGATAAAGTTTGATGGTATACAACAGAAAATGGAACATTTACATGTTTTGTAATTTTAAAATAGTTCATTGGTTGTTGTCCATCCATTTGAATAATAATAATAAGGTGTAGTTTGAATTGTCAGATTATTATTAAGTTGTTCTTCAATTGTTTGTTGAGTTGATACTGATGAATCTGATTCCAATAATTTATCGTTTTGTTGTACTTCATCTATAAAATTAAATAAACTTTCAAATGTTAATTCGATAAAATTAGCTTGATGAGGAATTGTATCAAAAAATGATTTGATTTCAAGTGTCATTGGTATTGAAGTTTGCAGAGTTGGATGTATAAAATTACATATTATTGTTTCAGTTGTTGGTGCTATTATTGAGTGTAATAAAGCTTGATATACAAGTGCTTGTTCATTAATATTTATAAAATCTAATATAGATTCTTGATGAAATAAATCATATGATATGGATGGTAATGTTGATACTGAACGATCGACAAGAAAAATTTTCCAATCATTTGGTGAACAACGACAACGAAATGTGTACGATTGAGGATCTTTATACCGACATATATTTGTTTCCTTGTATTGTGTTATTAATGGTAAATGACATAAACCAACAAAAGCAAGAAAACCTGATATATTTGTTTGTACAGGTTTTAATGAATCATCAATTATTTTCGTCATACCATCAATAATAACAGATGTATGCATATCATTATTACCTTGTTTTAATCGGCATTCAAGATGAATTGACATTCCAATACGTTGATTTAATGACATCAGTTGACTTCCAAAACGTATGAAATCCATAGGATGTATAAATGATAGAAAATCTTGTTCAAGCCATTGATCAGGTGTAACATTTAATACACGATTTATTGTATCAGTGACATAAATTACACGAAATGATGTTGGCTCAATAGTAGTTACAAATAAGAATGAATTACTTGCTTCAATTTTTAAAAAGTTTAATTCATTATCAGTTAAATTTGATGGACGTAATGGATCATTTTTATGTCGCAAATTTATTTTAGATATTTCATCAACAGCTTTTTCAAGTACATCAATATGGCGAAGTTTTTTTGACTTTGAATCACTTCGATTTGTAATTAACATTAATAATTCTGTAAAAAGTTTTTTTTCTCTTGCTAGTCGATCTTCTTCAACTTTTCTATGGGCTTCACGCTTACGTGCAAGATCATTCGAGTTTCGTTCTTCGTCTGATATTGTCAAAACTGATGCTGTTGTTATTTTATCACGTCTACTAAATGACAAAGTTCGAGAAAAATCAGTTGATTGATGAGGAAGTGTTGAATATAATGCATCAGAATAATTACTGTTATGACTACAAATTGATGTCGATAAATAACTTACATCAGTATCAGTCGTTGCTTTACGTTTTTGTTTGATCGAGCCATACCTGATGATGTTGGTGAAGATGTTGCCGATGTTTGATTTGTACTCATTGAAGTGGATGAAAATAGTCCAAAAGTATCATTGTCATTCAATGTATATAGTGCATTTGAATGAAAACCATCTTCTATTGGATGAGATTTATGTTCAGCATAAAATTGTAGAGAATTCTGCATTGGTTATAATATCTAAAAGAAAAAAGTACGATCTTCATAAGGTTCTTAAAAGTTATAAGGATAGAACGCTGAGAGTTAAAAAATCAATAAAATGGCATTAAAATGATGAAATGGACAAAAAAATTGGTGTATTTGAAATTCATCGATTAAGATAGACATTTTCATTAATTTCATTGCATGATTTTGATTAAAAACGAAAGCCACTCCATTTGCTTAATTAAAATATCGCTTTTCATCAATGAATATGAAAAACATCAATTTTTTGTGTTTCATCATCAGAAATGCCATGTTTTCTGTGTATTTGATATACAATTCACGAAAGTCATGAAATATTTTTGATTTTTTGACTGCATGAGAATGACTTTGCCTACATGTGTGCACGGCTATCATCATTATTTGTGCACTATTTCATCATCCGCATGTAGGATGTGAATAATAAAATCTGTTCCGTTTTTTTCTCGTCACCTCTATTGTCGCAGCCTGTCCAAGCGTGACGAAAACACGTTCTGTTTTTTATCTTGCCTTTTCAATATCTCAATGAAATGAAGTTGGATAAGGCTGAAATGTTCATAGGTTATGTAAGCTGGATTTTTCTGCACATGCTGAAAGTTATCTGTGTGAAGCTACCACAACACGATCAGTCAGCATGACCAGTAAAATACTATAACACGTCAAAATGAAAACCAATCAGAAGGTGATAAATAAAACAATACCATTATAAAGGAGAAACCCATGGACATGGTACTCCATAGTAACCCTAGCATATATATCACTACTATACATACGTATATCATTTTATCCGAAAGACGAGAAGAAATATGCTATTTTTTTCTACGAAATTATTTTTATGCATAATTTCTAGAGTTCTTCCTATCCTCATAAAAAGCACGCATCTTTCAATTTTCTACTAAAAATATTGAATATTTTGTTTGAAAAAAAATGAAAATGAAAAACTGCACGGAAACAATAGATTAATTTTAAAGATAGGACTTTTTCTTTCTCAATGCTTTAATTTATATTATCTTAAATAAAAAATATATTATTATTTATGATTAAAAAGAATTGATTATATCAATTTTAAAAAACAAATGATTATTATCAAATTGAACTTTATTTTGTTTATGTTATTATAGCAACTTGGTTACGACCTATAGATTAATATTTACTGTTAATCTGTTAGAACAGTAAGATTTAAAATAAAAATAACAATAAAAAATAAAACTAAATGATAGTTTCAGTTTTCAGTTTAAAAACTGCAGGAAGATAGAAACACGCCAAAGTTGGCCACTTTCTAAACCATTTTTCGCATGCCCGAAATATATGTAAACAAGTTCTCTGATACTGCTGGCTTTGTCGTTTCTCCTATTCTCTCATAGAATTGGTCAAGGTGTAGCACTACAAAAGAAATGATAACATTATCTAAGCTAAATTGCATAGCATATGAAATTTTATATCGTACTCAGCTCATTACATGTAACGGAGTTATTGTATGTGAGAAGATTATTGAATATCTTCCAGTTAAAAGAGTAAGTATCGTGTTTCTCTGCAAATAAAAAAAAGATTCAGTTCAAAGTATGCTGTTTCAGGAGTGCTATAACCCATGTCATCAAAATCGGCTAAGTTTTGATGATTTATCACGATTTTCATAAAAGTTAACGATTAATTGCGATTTCAACAAAAAAAAACAGTCGATTAATCGCGATTAATCACCGATTTTTTGAGTAATATAAATGCATCACGATTAATCATCGATTTTGTGAGTAACGCAGATGTATCGTCATAAATCGTCGATTATTTTGAGAGTCGTGATTGATCGAAACTAACTGCGGATTTGCAGATATTTTCACCAAAAAAATATTTCTAAATTTTTATAATATGCTAGAAGATAATTTTCTGACCCATTAATTATTGGTTTATTAGCTTAGATAAACAAAAAAATGAATTTGTTAATCTTTTCTTGTTCAGTCAAACTGTATCATATTAAATTACGTAATCTATTACAATGATTGGCTTGTGTCACAAACTTTGGATTAATTTCAACAGAAATATTTATTGCTTAATACTCATACAAACGAAGATTAGTTTTCGATCGTTATATATAGACAGCTTCTTTCAATCATCCCAACTAATTTAAGGACATTTTCAAGGACATTCGTGTAATCATTTAACAAAGAAGAGTATTCTCAACTTTTTCTTTTCTCTTCTCTTTCATATAAATTCTCACATCACAATAAGTTTTATTAATTTTTTTTTATGCATAGAAATTTGTAAATAACTGATCTGTTTTATTTTGTATTAAGAACCAGAGACCAAAACGAATCACATATGTCCAATTAGATTTGATTTGGTTCAGATTGCGTTTGAAAAAGGATAGGTGTGGGTGTGGGATGTGGGATGTGGTTTGGGAGTGAAAGTCAGTCTTCTATCATCCACATCCACCTATAAATTCTTTTTTTTTATTTGTTTCTTTTTGAAATTAATTGTATAAGTGTCATGGCCAATGGATTCCTTATATTCTTAAAAACAAACTATCTTAATAAAGCAGTGGAACATATTTTCGTATTAAAAATGACTAAGGGGTGTCAATTTATTCTTATATTTTAATTTACGGATTTATTAAATTAAAAATAATTTTTTTCATAATTCACATTTTTAAATATAGATTCTAAAAAATATTTATATTTAAAGATAGATATGAATAACAATAATTTTTATGTAAAATAAATTAATTGTGTGATGATTTAAATGATAAATAAATTTAGTTAGAAATAATTTTCATTTTTAAATATAAATGGTTATCATTCAAATTTATTTTTACATGCAAATTATCAAAAAACATGATTTGCATTTAATTTAACCCTTTCCGTCCGGCTCCTAGAAGGCGAATATTAAAAAAATTTTTTCTTATATTTCTGTTATCCTCTTATCATGTAGATAATAAAAATGCATTTTCCGAAACTAAAAAGTATTTCAGGGTCGAAAAACCTGATGTTGTCATTTGGCAACACCCGGCCGCTAGGGGTCAAAATTTTACAAAATTGTTTTTTTTTGTTTTTCTTGGTTTTAACATAATACTTCGTGGTGTTCTATTTATTCACAAAGATAATATAAGGAAATAATATAACGGCTGATAGAAACTAGACAAATATATAGAAAAAGTAGTAACAGAGAAGACTAAAGCTACGTTTAATAGACAGTTCATTCGTTATGATAGTCCTTGAAACAGTTATTTTTCTCATTCAGACACAAACGTATATTACATTTTGAACATGATATTCTTGTGTAACCATTACAGCCTGCATTTCGACATCTGCCCTTATCTATCTGTTCCGGCCAATGGTCGTACTTATCAAACCGAACACTTTTTGATGGTAGAGGACTCGGTGCAGCTCTTGGTGATGTTGAAGCACTGTTCTCAACTAATGATAATTTCAAAGAAGGACGTCCAAGTTTCACTGGAGGTGGTAATGGAGTAGATTTAAGTAAAGCCTAAGCTACATTCAAACGAAATGTTAATAAGGACATCATGCTCTTCTTTGGAATATTAATCTGTGAACAATGCCGACGGTACAAGAGCCAAGCATTTACTACTGAAAGATCGATAAGATGAAAAATAATTTTCATATAATATTTGTTTGACTTAACATTGATACGATATAATGAAATCAACATGTCTAACAAATCAACTCCACCCATGTGCTGATTATAAGCTCTTACTACATCTGGTCTGGTAACTTGCACATGTTTTTTTTCTTTTGCTGACCATCTTTGAACTAAATCGATAGGCTGACAAGCATGTAAGGTTGAAAGACAGTTGACAACATTATTATCATACCACCTGATGGCACAGATCTGAATTCCATCAACCTCTGCTACACGATGATCCATTGACCCCCGACCTTCCCTTGATAACTCTGTTTTAGTTTTCATAACTAAACCAGCTAATCGATTCGATCTCACTGTACCAACAGTAAAAATTCCCAGTTTGAATAACTCTACTTGTAATGCAATTGTGGTATAAAAATTATCACAATAAAGTTTGTGATTGATATCATGAGGAACTGTCTCACAAAGTGCAAGAACGATTTTTGTACAAAATCCATACTCAGACTTTTCACCTTTGCCTGAATAGAATATGAAATCATAGCAAATACCACTTTCACCACCAGCTAAGACAAACATTTTGTATCCCCAACGATTTGGTTTCAGTGGCATATGCTGCTTCATAATGCTTCTACCCTTGAATGGAATAATCTGTTCATCTGCACTTAACTTTTCTTCTTTAGGAATCTTTCTGAAGTTTTCTTTGACAATATTAAGTAATGGACGAACTTTATATGCTCGATCAAAAGCTGGATCACCAGCAAATAATTGATTTGAATTATCGACGACATGTAAGTTTTTTCTAATTTGCAAAAATCTGTCTCGACTCATAACTGAAGCTATGGATTCAACACGAGTTGTATTCATCCAAAAGAAACGTGGTGTTGGAAATGAATAAATACCTGTCATAATTAATGTACCTATAAAATGTTCCATCTCATGTTGAGAAATGCAAAGAGGCTTATTTGGATTCATTTGAACCGAATATAAATTAGATTGATCAGTTAGAAGTGCTATAGAGTCTTTGTCAAACATGGAATAAAAATAATCTATCGGCGCTAATTCATCATCCGGTGGTGCTGGTGGTAAGACTCCAGTAAAATCTGCTGATGGAGGGATAAAGTCTTTCTTTTCCCAATGTATCTTTTTCGTTTTTTTTTGGTGGTGGACTTGCTTGTTTAGTTTCTTCAATATCATCCTCTTCACTTGACGAAGACTCTTTGTTTATTAATAAATTCTTTGATAGAACATGTCTGACTTTACTTATCTCATCTTTAGAGTCTGATGAATCTACTTCTTCTTCACTAAGACCATTTGGTACAATAGACTGTCGTTTAGAACTTCGTGTAGTTGGCATTATCAAAGATAAAAGATTGATGAGAGACAATTTTATATTTTAAAATCTTATTAAACACACTTCATTGAATTCGTGTATATATATATATGTATATAAAGCTTTAGAAGGTGACAGACTTCACTAGAAAGAAGTAGAAAAGAAACAGACCCTGAAAAATAAAAGAGAGAACGAAAAAGCGAATAGAACTGAATATACTAGAAGAAAATATGCACTCGTATATCAAGAAAGAAAGTAAAAAAATCTAGGTAAGATACATATGATGATGTCATGATAAGAACCGAACGAAAGAAAAGATGTGCAAAGAATTTCATCACGTAATAATATTATTTTGACAATTCAAGAGAAAAAAAAGTTTTAAAGAAATTTGTTCCCTTACCGCCGGGAGTTGCCATATGGCAACATCGCTACCTTTCATCGTTCAAAATAATGGAATAATATCAACTAATGAGGCAATATATAGTGGGTCTATGGACAAAAATTAACCACTAATTGCCTTCACCATTGAATGTTCGGTTGCATCAAAAAATTGTTTTTACGTTCGAGATGCTTTTTTGGAGCCTCACGTAGAATCTCAATCATTTTCATCCTGAATATTTTTTTCTTCTTCTGAACACATGAATCTGTGCTAAAATGTCTGCAGATAATTATCGAATCGTAAAAAGAATTATAAACTATTAGTATAGGTCAATTTTGGGCAAAAAACTAACTAAATGTTGTCATATGGCAACATCCGGACGGAAAGGGTTAAAGTAACAGGAAAATGACATCCCTAGCTTTTACTCGTCGTTACATTTTCGTGGTTAACAAAGTTTTGTTGAATACACGTAGAAAATTCAACAATGCCAGATATACGTAAGTATAGTATAATGGTATATTCCGTGCTTCGAAAATACAAGTTCATCTGATTGAATCTGCTCTACGGTATTAAAATCAAGTTGAAACGCGCTCAATAAGCACGAGGATATACCAATGGACGAAGTCGTTCTCAGAGAGAGTAAACAGATAACGAAGAGACTCGTTGTATAGACATCAAAAGTCTTAAAAAAAACTTATTTTTTCTATCTTTTTTTCATGATAAGCCTAGACTGATTACGCAACCGTAAATTAATCGCGATTTTTCTTAAAAATCGGAAAAAATATCGGCCAAAATCGGTACTTTGAATGAATATATCGCGATTAATAGTCCTAATAAATCGCGATTAAATCGTCGAATTTTTAGAGATTTTGAGGATATGGGTACTATTTCCTATAAAGATGTGAAGCTTCAGTTGAAAGGTAATTATTTTTAGTGAAAATATCAATAAACTTACTTTCAGTTAATGTTGGAGTAATTTATTGTTAATTACATGTGGAAAAATATAATAAGATAAATGAAATGAGTTTTATATTGCCGAAATCTATTATCCCATTCATAAACTTTAGAAAAGATTGATTATGTTTACGTTATCATATGGGGGTGAGCAGTTTGAGTGGTACCCCATTTTGATACACTCCTATTGTAAGGATAAAACATACTATTGTTCGGGTCATATAAGAGAGGATCCTAGATAACCCTGAATTGGTCCGAACAACATCATGTTTTATCCGTACAATAGTAGAGAAAAGCTGCCAACTCACGCGATAAGCTAGTAGCTGTTCTCAACTATTGTACGGATAAAACATGATGTTGTTCGGGCCAATTCAGGGTTATCTAGGATCCTCTCTTATATGACCCGAACAATAGTATGTTTTATCCTTACAATAGGAGTGTATCAAAATGGGGTACCACTCAAACTGCTCACCCCCATATATTAAACTGTCAATGCTAATTCAATAGCTTTCATAGTCTCTGACTGGTGCACATTAAAGGTAATGAGCGGCAGATCACAATGTTGCCATTAATGATGACTGTCTCTTTTTGAACTTCGAAAAATTACAGTAAAGAATTATGCTCTCCAAAGGACAGGGGCGCATAAGACCCTAATTTGGCCCATTGGACTTTTCACAACAAACAGAGTTTGTATTGTTCTTGTCATTGAACCATTTGAAAAGTACAGATGTAAAAGCAAGAAAATCTTTATACGTAATCCAATTACATAAATCTTACTTGATACTTGATATCCTGTAGGCTTATCGCCCATTGGGGCTAACCACTTTTCGAATCAATTCTTTCCATTGATTTCTGTTCTGTGCTAGATGAACCAGATCTTGGCAGCTGTACGCGCACCATTCCATGATGTCATCTAACCATTCTCTGCATGGTCTTTCTCTTCTGGATTTCCCATCTATTCTGGAAAAAACTACGTGTTTTAACAGTCTAGTATTATCCATTCTACAGATGTGACCGAAGAGTCTTAATTTTCTTTTTTTAATAGTGTCTATTATGGTTTCGTGAGCTGCTATTTTATTTTTAATGTCAGCGTTACGCACCATATCTTTCCAATGAATTCGTAGTATTCTACGATAGCATTTCATTTAAAATGCAAGCAATTTCTTTTTGTCGCCTTCTTTGAGAGTCCATGTTTCTGAAGCATATAGTAATACGCTGAAGACGCAGGTATTTAACAGCTTTAGTTTGTTTTCGACTTTTAGTTATTTCGCATTCCATCTATGCTTTAGGTTTGTCATGGCACCAACTGCTTTGTTGATTCTTCTTTTGATTTCTTTGGAGCAGTTGTTGTCCCAGGTTAGCAAGCTTCCCAGATATTCGAATTCCTCAACGTTTTCAATGGTTTTGCCGTTGATTTGTGCTTGTTCATCGATGTTCTTGTCGCCAAACACCATCGTTTTTGTTTTAGTTTTGTTTATCATTAGTCCTGCTTCTTCAGACACTTTTGTAAATTGATCGATTTGTCTGTGAAGTGAGGCACGGTGGACAACCAGGCGGACATGACCGAAAGTTCTATTTTCCAAAATTCAAATATTGGAATGAATACATCTATGGTTAGTCTAACTTACCCTAAAACTAAATTTCCAGAAATCAAGTCGAACCCTGGAAAAACCCATCGTCAAAAAATTTCTTCACAAACCGGTAATTATCCGGAGAAGATTTTTGTTATTAATTTATTAAAATATTTTAAAATGAAAAACTATCTGGAACGAATGATTAGCCTATAAGCTTCATTGTGTGAAAAAATTATTTCAATCGAACCAGAAATGGAGTAGAAAAAAGCGCTTACTGGACCGACACTAGGTCGAAAACTCGGTCATACCGTATTTTGTAGACGCTCAACACAATTTAAGTCTGATTGAGCTCAAACTTTCACCAATTATTCTCCTATACGTGATCTATCGTTGGCCATATCGCGATGTCATACCAGTGAACAGAAACAGAATTAGTGGCTTCCTAAAGAACCAGCTTTCTGCCCCGGAATCGTTAGCTTTTCGAATACAGAGACATTTTTGCGCAAATCCAAGGCGATATTCGGAATGAGCTCGCCGAGCTGCATCGAATCATATATAACAGTAATTGTTTTTCCGAAAAAAAAGTTGGTTCCTGTGCTCTACAAGGTTCTGAAAATCAGCCGTTCCGTATTTTGTAAACGCTCAACGCAATTTAGGTCCGATTTATCTCAAACTTTCACTGATTATTCTTCCACGTCTACTTCATCGATGATCATAGCGCGACTTCGTATCGATGAGCACAGCCGGTGCTATGAGTCTTCCAAAAACCGAGGTTTTTGCCCCCAAATCCCTATTTTTGCAAACACTGCATCATTTTGGAGCAAAACCAAGGTGATATTTGGAATGAGTTCGTCGAGCTGCATCTAACCATATATAATAAAAAGCGTTTTTTTGAAATTTTTTTTTGACCTTTACACAAGGAAAGCTTAAAAAATGAGTCATACCGTATTTTTCGAACGGTACAAAAAGTTTTAATCCAATTGATCTTAAACTTTTACTGATTATTTATCTATGTGTGGTCTAGTGCTAGCCAAAGCACCATCTCGCGCAGATGAGTACAGCCGATACTAGGTACGTATTTTCCCAAAACCCAGATTTTTGCCCTCAAATCCCTATTTTTCCAATTACGATAGCATTGTGGCATAAAATGAATGCGATATTCGGAATCAGCGCGCAAAGTTGCATCGGATGATGTATGACACAAGACATTTTCTACCAAAAAACATTTCGAAAATCTGGGCAAGAGTCCCCCTCAAGTGTTTCACACGGAAAAAATTTTTTTTCAAAAAGTGCTTTATTTTCGTAAATTCGATTTTCTGAGTGGTATACAAACACTTCTGAGCAACGAAAACCCGTTTCAGAGCATAAAAGTTACATGTCCGCCTGCCTCATGAAAGTTGCCCACTGTGTGTGGGGTGTGGGTGTTTGTGTGGTTATGGGTGGGTATGGATGTGGGTGGGTGTTGGTGTGGGGTGTGGGTAGGGTTTGTGGGTGCGGGTGCGGGTGTCGGTATGGGTGTGGGTGGGTATGAGTGTGGGTGGGTGTGGATGTGGGTGTGGATGTGGGTGTGGATGTGGGTGTGGGTGGGTGGGTGTGGGTGGGTGCGGGTGTCGGTATGGGTGTGGGTGCGTGTGTGGGTGGGTATGAGTGTGGGTGTGAGTGGGTGTGGGTGAGTGTAAGTGTGGGTGTGGATGTGGGTGTGGGTGCGTGAGTGTCGATGACAGAATAATCCACACCCACACCCACACCCCCAACTACAAAATTCATTAGCATTCACAAAAATTTGAAGAAATTCGCCAAATTCTAGTAGAATATGACAAGATCTTCAGTGACTATGAACAATATGAAAAGACTGAGTATAGTCATTAGTAGTTAAGAATTTTTGAGTGAAAAACACACTAAAAAAAGTGGTGATATCTTTTCTTAAGACTAAAGATATTAATTTGAAATCTTTTTAGAGAAATAATACGGTCTTGAATTTTGGTGAAGTTGAGTAAGTTCCAACCAGTCTCAATAAATTATGATGAATTCATTATCTTATTCGTTGAAATTCAGAAAGATGGTAATCTCCAAGATGACATACCGCAGTGAATCTTGTTTTTTTCAGAATCATTCTGATTCTCTTTGTAATTTTGACGAATAATCTTGTAGTTTTTTTTAAATTTTTTGATATTTTTCATGAGAATCAAAATGTTCAGAAAAATAGAAATATTCGACAAAGCTACATCGAATCAGAGCGATTTAATAAACAGAACATGAAATCAGGACTGCCGCGAAAAGTGTAGCAGATTTATTATATTGTTTTCGAAGAAAAAGTAAGATTTATCTGATTAGTATAAGAGTTAAAATGCGAAATTTACTAACTTGGAAGGAAATAGACAAAGGGAAACTGAATTGAAATGATAAGAATGTCATAGTGATCAATCCAAGGATTACAAAATTTTTATGTTGTACGAATCGTCACATGGGGCCCATGCAATGGGATGTGACAAATCAATTGGCCCCATAGGACGACTTTTTCATCCCATCTCAATCTGTTCGGAGATTTGCATGAAAAATATTACGAAAGATGGTAATGTCATAATAGAATAGCATAATTATTTAAACAAAATCATTATGTTACTACCTTCGAACAGGTGCCACAATCGCAAAATATATGAAAACTTATGTTAAAGCTGATAGAAGATATTCTACACGTTTTTCATCAACGGTGGAACGGTTACTACAATTGAGAAAACTATTTCGAGTGATTAATCAAAAAAGAGTAAAGTTAGTCACATATCTATCTCATACTTGAATGTAATCAACCAACTTTTCAAGCTGTTCTCCTCATTTTAAATGAATTACTCGCCTTGTTACATTTCTTCATTTACTATCAAGAAAATCATAAAGGAACGAATCAGTAATTCTAAATTTTTCTACTTTATTGTGATTACCATTTGTATTCAATGACAAAGATAATCATTTTACAGATCAGTTTATTTTCAAGAAACATATTACAAACACTGGTTGTATAAAACAGAACCAGAGAATTACACATGCGATCTACGAGTGTTGAAAAGGAGAAAGATGTGTTTTTACATGTTTTATTAGTCTAATATTTGTGGACGATGCTTTTTTGGTTTTCATCAGAGACAAACTCTAACACTACACAGAATAATGAATAATCTAGTTTTGAATACTTTTGAATTCCGTACATTGTCATTATCAGTTGATATTTCAGAGCTAAAAAAACTCATTTTGATAAATCAATACGTTGAAGTTTTAAATCAAAATTTTCTGGCTCTCACTAGTATACACCTTAGAAAACAAAAAGAACAATGCTACAGTTCCTTCCCAAGAGGTCCTTACTAATGGAAAAAGAAGATTAACAGTAATAACAACAATATGAATAAAATAATAAGCATAGATTATGAATAAATGATAAAAATTCTCAATAAGTTGATGCATTCAAATGTGCCTCGAAAGGAAATCGAACATAAGTTTATTTAAGCTTGTGAAAGTTTTCAACATCTATAAATAAGATATATCAATATTGAGAAAATTCTAATCAATTGATATAAGAATATTTCTAGCTTATATGACCTTATCAAAATAATAAATAATATATATTTTTTCAATACAATATCAGCGACAAAAATCTTTCGATCAAAATGAAGATATTGGCTAAGAGATAAAAATTTTTTGCAATTATATACAAAGATAAATTTATATTATTAATAATATATTTATTATTTGGCGAGTTATTCAGATTTATTCGAGTTATCTTATCACAGTAAAGAATATATTATATATGAAATAAGAAAAAGAAAACTAATTGATAACATTTCTACTCAAATTCTAAAAAAAACACATTATTCAACTATAATTATTATTTATTCTATTCTTAATAATATTATTTTAATCAAATGTTTTGACATTTATTGGAATTTTTTTTTGTTAAATAAATCATTAAAAATCAAGAGTAAAATATCTATCTAATTCAATTTATGTCTATAGTTATTTGATTATATAAAAAATAGTCATTGATAATCGACTATTTAATAAACACGAATAAGAACTTGTATGGCCATTGATATAGTAACAAAAAGACCAATAAAAAAAGTTATAGCTCGACTTGGCTGGGGTAATGGAATCTTAAATAAAAACAAAAAAAAACCAAAACGAATTTAAATTGAAAATAAATATAATAATTAAATAAAACCTGATATGAAAATGTATGAAGAACTCGTGAAATAAAGAATATACGAAAATGCCATAATGCCATATTCGGATCAGGATTACAAGCAATATAACAAAATCCAATAAGTACAAATGGTATTATATTTTCAATATCATTTAAATGATTACGACGAACACGTTCAACATCGGGATCCGATGTCGTTGGTACCAAATTTTTTATTTTTCTTGTGTCTATATCTTCAGGATTAACAAATGCCTTTTAACAATTTAATTATTAGTTTTCATTTTATTTTAATAGGAAAAAAAACAATAGTTATTTACATTTTTTCGAAATCGTTGTCTAGCGGTTAATAATGACATAAGCATCATTTTAAGAGTTGATGCTACGGCATAAAATAAAAAATTTCGAAAAACTGTATTACTTAATGTGTAATAAACTGTCGACATTGTTTTATTGTTTTAGTTAGTTATTTGACTTTGATTGATGTTTGACGACAACTTATATACAAGAAAAAAAAAGACACACAAGGTAAATTTTTATATTTATAGAACTATATATACGAATGAGAAAAAGACAAAACGAAAGAGAATATATCATGCTTTATCATTGGCCTTTACACCGAAGTGACACACTTTGAAAATAAATATATTTTATATCATAATACTTTTTGCTTTAAAAACTATGAACGTAGATATACAACATGTTTGAGTCATATAAAAGGTAGTAAGAACTACGAATCAATGGTAAATACACATAGTTATGAAAAATTTGAACTTGATGGAAATGACAAAAGAATAAATAATGATAAAAATCTATTAAATCAGATCAGATATATTTCTGTAGATTTTATTTTCACGAAATATATAAATATCATGCAATGGATGGTGCTATATTACAGTGAATCTTTTAACAAAAATACAACAGATTTTACTTGAGAAATAATTCAAACATGAGATGTCACTAAAACACATTCTCTTATTTTAACTGATCAAAAACCTAACGATGGAATATTTGCAATTAGGTGTTTAAAAAAATCCTGTAAATGAAAGTTGTTTATTATAAAATAATTATTTTTAAATACATAATAATATTGAAATTGTAATTGTCTGATAAAAGATGTCGAAAAACAATTTAACATCAAATAAATATTGATTATTAAAAAAATGACAGAATTACATCGAAATAATGCGTTTTGTTTTTTTTATAAGATAAGATTATATCGATGATCAGTTTCGTTTAATCCTATGAATATATCAGACTATGACAAATTACGTTGTTTTTTTCTCTGGATCTTAAATCTAAAAATAAATTTTAATTAACGAAAATAGAGAAAATATTTTTAATTGATTAAAAAGAAATAAAAGAAATAAATTAAAATAATATTATTATTGAATGAAAATTATTTAATTCTTGATGATAAATAATCATTATAAATGAAAATATGTTTTCCTATTTATCATCAATAGATTATTGTTCGAAAAATTTAAATTTTTTTTTATTTAAAGATTATCAATAAACAATGTTATCCTTATTCGAACAAGGATCGATCATATACATTTTAATTTAGTCCTTTTTTCAAAAGATTATCAATTTTCTTAAAAAATAAATTAATTCATAGAACACAACTAATCTCATTCGAGAGAATAACTCGATTTGTCTCTATAGTGTTCGAACCCGAATGTTTTCGTTTTCTATAATTATTATTTTGATAAATGAATATTCATAAGATTGATACATTTGTTATAAATAAAATAAAACGTCTGAAGATTTTCATCAACAAAATTATTCCGATATAGAACATCTGGTTTTTTTGTGGATTCTGACGATAAAAACTATTTAAAAAAAATAAACAAATTGTTTTAGTCGAGTCAACCACGTAGAATTATTAATTAAAGTAAAATTTTCTCAATATATGATATTTTCAATATTCTGTTTTTTCTTATAAATCATTATTTTATAAACAAACTCTCATTTTCATAGAATCAACTCTACTTCACTTCTAAATCTTGCAAATAATTTCATAATCTATTTATGATTAATAATAATATGGATTATCATTTAAAAAAAACGGGTTAATTAGATTCTATCTGGTTCAAACAAAGATACTATTTGATTTAGAATTTTTTGGAAATTGTTCAATATGGTATCTTTTTTTTATTAACTAGATGAGTTTGTTTATCAATCAACTATATTCAACTGTAATTCTTTCCGAATATGACTGATTATTGATAATGAATATTGGAGTACGATTATTAAATCAATCTATTTACTATCTACGCTTTGAAGTTATTACGATAGAGAGAATAAGAAAAAAACGACTAGCTACATTTGACAAATATCCTTTTTCGAATATTTACAGTAGAAACCAATTGTAAAGAATACATCGATGATAATATTGAGATTTACAATTTTATATTGGAATTCTTTTGTTAATTTTGTTTAGAAGTTTTACGAGTTTATTTTAAAAGAAACTCATTATCATGTCACATGCACTAAACAAAATCTCCTATTTAATATAATTAAATAAAATATGAAGAATATTCAATCTATCAAATGAGTAAACTAGTCACTATTCACATTCAAAAATCCTATTTATGTCTAGAAAACTATTATTATATTAATATAAGACATTGAAATAACTAAATTAATAATCAGATCAATATATGATAAATGTTTTTATATAAATATTATTTCAACAAAATATAAAATCGTTTTTAAATAAAAAGCAATATTATTTATACGTTCGGAATAGTCAAAATTTTGTCGAATAGATAAATAAAATTTATTTATTTTAATATATTGACATCGATAATATACATTAGAATTATTTAATAAATAGTTAACAGTCAATGTGAATTAATTCAAGACCTTTTTGTCTTCAATTAGTATGAGATTATTATATTATGTTTCATATTAAAGTTTAAAGAGACATCTTCACCATAATAGTTTGATAAAACTTGTTAGATCCTAATTAAGTTCGATATAGAAAACAAAAAAAAGAATAAAACATTAAAGAAATTATATTAAAACGTTCATAAATATATTAACTTCCTCAACTTGATTAGTTTAAGATGTGTTCAATAACTTGATTCATCTTTCGATTATAGAAATCAATAGGTTATTTACTTCGTATCGATTTTTGACGAGTAATTCTAATAGTGACAATCATGTTAAACATATCTTTCAAAGATCTATTTAATAGAAATTATATATTATATTATATTTATTATTTATTCATGAATATTATCAGTGAAAATATAGGTTTTATCATTAATTAATATTATCTATTTATTTCAATCATTATTCCTATCATTCAATCAATATATCGATATATTCATGATGAAAGATATGAGTAATAACTCATTCATCTTAAGAAACTTTTTCGTGTTCAATCAACAAAAAAAAATACATTTATAAAACTAAATAATTTATTTAATTAGATATTCAATATATACTTGCTCCTATTTCGACATCATCAAGACTATTAATCATTAGTTCGTTCAATTATTTATTGTTTTAAAATCAGATACCTAAAATTATTATTTATAGTTAATTATACTCATATTAACCTTGATTAAAATAGCTTCATATCGATAATATCTATATCTATTCGGTAAATGAGGGAATTTTTTCACCGAATTATATCAGCGAAAGTTCAGAGGCTTAAATTTATGAGAAAAATCTCTTTGGATTGGTTAAAATGATTCTCATATTGAGAAGTTAGATGCAATTATGTTTGAACATAGAAAAGTCTAGGTAATGATCTCTATTTAATATAAATGAGTCAATTGTTTAACTCAAAACTCTTTCAAATGATCTTCTTTATTTATCATTGACTTTTCTATAAATATGTCAAGTTTATGCCAATCAATCGACCTAATTACATTGAAAAACTAACTTTTTTTCAATTGAAATAATTCAAGGTTTATTTATTGATTTGATACCTCTATCGACTTCTGTTTTTTTTTGTTTTTCATTGAATCTGTTAATTAGTTTTTTCATTCATCGATTAAAAAAAACTGAATAAATCGTTATTCTAATGAGTCTTAAGTTTCAACACTGAAAAAAATCGAATTATCTAAAAAAAAAAACAAAAAATGAGACTCAATCGTTTGACATTGACTAGAAATATATGAACAAAAGCATAGAACTTCAATGTTGTTTAATATGATAAATATAATAAATGATTTCGAAGAAAGTTTTATTTAATCATTGAACCATTAATAAAGCTTTTCATGTTGTGTTTTCTCTATAATAAGTCTATTATTTTTCTTGCTAGTTTATTTATCTCAACAATAATCATCTATGATGATTATTCGAATAAATAACAGTTCGTTTAATTATCGACTTTTGTCATATCTCGATATTGACATATTTAGTCACCTATATATATATATCTCCTCGACTAACAATTACATCTTAGTTTAACTGTTGAGAAAATGGTTTTATTGAATAAATAATTTGTTTCTCAAATTCTGAACGAATATAAATATCATGTAGAGTTTTAAAATAATTAGTTTTATGAAAGTTAACATTCTAACATAGAATTAATATCAAGGTAAAAACAAAACAAAGGATTGTTTTTAATTGATAAACAAGTTAAATATGATTCCATGAAAGATTAATTAACATGTGAAATATTTCATATTCGAATAAAAATATTCTTCTCATATTAATTATTTAATATAATAATGTACATGAAGAAAGATGATGAACACTAAAAAGTAAAATATAGAGAAATATAATAATAATAATCTATATAATGTGTTATTTTTTGTTTATTGACCTTTTTAAATTTGTTGAAATTCTTATTTATTAAAATAAATCTTAATGAAGAGATTGTTTTTCTCATTTGAGTTAGTATGTTCTCCTCTTATAATTATATTAATATAGTTTATTTTTTATTTTTCTTAAATATTATTTCAACATATTCAACATAAAAATGAAAAGATAAATTATATGGAAGTATATATTTTTCCTGTCATAAATAATATCTCATTCCGATTCATAGTATCACGTTGATGGGAGTTATGTTATTTTTTTTGAATATTATCCTATCATCGCTCTGAAATCGTGCTTAGATTATAACTTGCAGAAGAAAAAACTGCAAAAAATAAATAACTAGAATAAACCTAAATAATAATGTTTTTTTTTCAATTATTTATTCGAATATGTTAAGTGTAATATGAAAAACAAAAAACATCTTTTATAGAATAGATAAGAATGATGAATTTATCAAAAATGAAAATAATTGTGAAGATTCTTAAAAAAAAAAACAAAAATCATTATTGAAGAAAAGTTTTCTTGATCAATGGAGAAGATTGGAAGTATGTAAGTAGAATAAGTTTGAAGCTTATTTTAATAGTTTTACATGAATATTTAGTATTTTTGCTGCATTGATTAATCTTACTCCTTTATTGATATTGGTTTTCATTTGTATGAATTG